GGTGCACAGGACAACACCCAACCAAGTGAGCCATACCAGTCAGGCTTGTTTATCTTTTCGAAAAACCAGTTTATAGCTTTACTGATCTTTTCTACCGTCTTTCTGTCTCTATTTAACTTATTTCTGCTTTGATCTTTGTTACATCCTTCCTTCTCTGATTTTGGACTTAGTTTATATTCTTCTTTTTCTAGTTCCCTGAGGTGCAAAGGTAGGTTGATCATTTGAAATCTTTTTTTCTTAATATGTGTGTTTATCACTATAAACTCCTCTTAGAACTGCTTTTGCTATATCTCATAAGTTTTGGTATGTTGTTTTTCCATTTTCATTAGTCTCAAGATCTTTTTTATTTTCCTTTTAATTTCCTCTATGACCCATTGATTGCTCAGGAGCATGTTGTTTAATCTCCACATATGTGTGAATTTTCAACTCTCTACTTGAGTCATTCTTCCTAACTCACACCTTAGCTCCTACTACACATCACCCTTCAAACAAAGCAGGAATTTTCAGTATTTCATCCTTAAAGTATGGTTGAAAGAAAGTGTTCCCCATGGAAAGGATATTCCTAAGCATCATCAGAGGCAAACATAGGTCCACTCTCTATTTTATATACATTTTTCCCTTCATCATTCATCCTTTTTGGTCTCCTTCTTTACATCTCTTTTTAATGTTTCTGTCTTCTCTATGTATATGTCTTAGACTCTCAGAAATATCCAGTGCCAACCACAGGCATGATTAAGCCTTATTAATAATACTCAGTACCAAAGAAAATGTGGACCTTTATAGTAAAGACAAAGCAGAATCTTCATTGTAATAGATTTTCCATTTTTTATTAGTCAGCAGTTAAATTTTATGTATCTTTTAATGATATATCCTTGAAGTATCACAGATAAAACTATGGAGTGTATGGGACAGGCCTCCAAGTGATCCAGTAGAGGAGCAGAGTGGAGAGTACAAATAAAACAAGATTGGCCAGTTAATAATTGTTGAAGCTGGTTAATGAGTACATGGGGTTGATTAGCCTATTCTATTTTTATATATTTGAAGTCTTTCAAAATAAAAAGTTTTAAAAATTGAAATTGAGAACTTCAAAATAGGAAGCAACACAAAGAAAGAAGAAGTCCCTTATATAAAGCTCTCAGTTTATTTATTATAATTAAAACATCAGGGTAAAATAGATATTATAAAATGTCTTTGGTAAATGCAAGGGAACCAGCAATGAGAGCAAGCCATCTTTGGAAAAATCATTAAAAACATTAGTTTCATCTCTCAGATGTATAATATTTTCAACTTTTCAAGTTTAGCATTTTACAAGGTCAGTCAGGTAGGCACTAACATTGAAAGTATTAGAACAAGCACTGGGTTCTACAAATACCCACACCTAAAAGATATTAATTTTCAAACTGTGATCACCCTAATGAAGAAAAATAATACCCTGAGCTTATAAGAGATAAAATAAGGACACTCTAGCCCTGGCCGGTGTGGGAGGCAACAGATCAATGTGTCTCTCTCACATCAATGTTTCTCTTTCTCTTTCTTTCTCTTTCTCTCTCTCTCTCTGTCTCTCTGTCTGTCTCTCTCTGCCTCCCTTCCTCCCTCCTTCCTTTCCACTCTCTCTAAAAAAAAAACCAATGGAAAAAATATCCTCAGGTGAGGATTAACAACAATAAAAAAACAATAAGGATACTCTAAAAAGATACTTTATCTAAAAAGATAGATATTCCATTAAATAAATGATAAAATAAAAATAAGTCTGCTTCTGGATTGAAAGGGCGAATAGGAGAACTGAAGAAAAGATAAAGGAAATTATGCACTAGGAAATGCATTTCATATACTATGAGATGGAAGTAGCAGAGCTTCAGAAACAGCATGGCTTTGGATAAGACTGAACTAACACATTTAAATCTGCTGTCTTCCAAAACTTCACTGTTCACAAAATCACAATAAAGGAATAAAAAACAAACAAAGCAAAAACTCAAGAACGATGAGAATGGAAAAAGAGAAGACAGCAACCACATTTTTAAGATTAGAGAGAAGGGCAACTGACAACTGACTTAGCAGAACCATGAAAACTAGAAGTAGAGAAAGCCAAAAAAGCAATCCAATGTACAGGACAGACCCCCAAAAGACTCAGAAATTGGCTGACTAGTACCCCTAGATGTGACAGTGAAGGTGGAGTTGAAAACAGGAGGCTTAGATGGAAGTCTGTTTAAAAAGCAGTTAATTAGTTGCCTTACTGCACCATAGCTAGACCTCTGCCCTTTCCTAACCTTGGCAAAAGACTAGAGGTTCACTGCCTGGAAAGTTTACCAGAGGATCTCTAGAACAGGGAAGACCAGGCATGGTTGAAAAGAGATAAGTAAATGAAAGTCCATCTTCATACTGAATGTTGTCTTGTACTCAGCAGGCAGAATGTCAAAATCCAGACCTAATAATCCAGATGGGAGGCCGGATGATTATTCTCTGATTCCCCAATTCAAAAGAAAAGACCTGAACATACAGGAAGAGCCAGAGAGCTTTACGGCAAGGCCCAGGGTTAATAAGCCCCCGTGGCCAAAGCTCCCAGGAGGCCTTAATCTTAAACACGAGATGAGGATCAAGGGCCATCAGGCATGTGAGAAAAGCCACCAAATGGAACAGGCCCCGACAGAGAGGAAGAAATTCGGAGGAAATGCACCTGCAGGGAGAAGGAAATTTAAAAAACAAAAACAGAACCCCCTATCTCTAATATCTTTGGAGTAGTAAAAACATAGTATATCTACCAAAGAATAATAGTATGCTGTTTTTAAAAAAAGAAATGTTCAGAAAACCCAATAGAGTTCCTGAAAATTAGAAATACAATAAAAATTAAAAACTGAATAGAAGGCTCAGAAGGAAAATACAGAAGAAAAGAAAACTAAATGATCATACATTTAATATATTTACTAGTTCTAGAAAGGAATAGGAGAGTAAATAAGAAAAGTAATAAGAATATTTTCAATAACTGAAAGATATAAGTTTTCAAATTAAAAGAGCTCATTGAATGCCCAGCAAAATGAACAAAAAGAAACTCACACCAAGTAAAATCATTGTGAAATTTCAAAACACTTTAGGAAGGTGAAAAAAATGTTAAAACTCGAAAAAAAGTTTCAAAACAGAATCAAGAGTAAGAATGGCACTGGACTTCTCAGTGGCAACACTGGAAGCCAGATAACGAGAGGGGTGTTTTCAAAATTAGGAGGAAAGTAAATTCCTACTTGAGCTCTACACCTAGCAAACTAAGTGTAATAATTAAGCAGAGGTTTTCATACAAAAAATCTCACAAAAAACTACTTACTTTCCTCAGGAAGCCCCTGCAGGAAGTATTCCACCAAAAAGAAGAAATAAACCATAATAAAAGGAGAGATGAAATCCAGCACATGGAGATTCAGCATAAGAGAAAGGCAAATGGATTCCCCAGTATGAAGGTGAAGTGAAAGGAGATCACAGGCTAACAGCTATGCATCAAGAACAAAGTCCAGCCTCCAATCATAAAGTAAAAAAGTTAAGCAAAAAAGTTACCATATGACCCAGCAATTACACTCCTAGGGATATACTCAAAAGACGTGAAAATAGGTATTCAAACAAAAACCTGTATATCAATGTTCATAGCAGCACTATTCACAGTAGTGAAAAGGTGAGAACAACACTGGGTTCATTAACTAATGAATGGATTAAAAAGTATGGTATATCCATACAATGGAATAATATTCAGCCATAAAAAGAAATGAAGTATTAATACATGCTACAACATAGATAATCCTTGAAAACATTATGCTAAGTGAAAAAAAGCCAGACACAAAAAATCATACTGTATAATTAATTCTATTTATAGTTAACCCCTGAATAACATGGGGGTTAGGGGCACCAACCTGCCCACAGTCAAAAATCTCCAAAATTTAACTATTAATAATCTACTGTTGACAAGAAGCCTTACCAATAAAAAACAATAGATTAATACATATTTTTTATGTTATATGTGTTATATACTGTATTCTTACAATAAAGTAAGGTAGAGAAAAGAATATGTCATTAAGAAAATCATAAGGAAGAAGATATACATTTATAGTAGTACATATTTACTGAGAAAAAATTCATATATAAGTGGACCTGTGCAGTTCAAGCCCATGTTGTTCAAGGGTCAACTGTATATGAAATATTCAGAATAGGTAAATTCATAGAGGTAGAAAGTAGATTGATGGTTGCTAGGGGTTGGGGAGACACAGGAATGGGGAGTGACAGCTTAATGGGTACAGGGTTTTCTTCTGAGGTGATGAAAAGGTTTTAGAATTAGAGGTAGTGGTTGTACAACACTGAATGTACTAAATGCCACTAAACTGTGCAATTTTACATGGTTAATTTTATGTTAAGTGAATTTTACCTCAATTTTTTTAAAAAGAAAGAAAGCTCCTGGAGAGCTCTAAGAAGATGAAATTGATAGAATACCTAATGTGTTTTAAACATATTAAAATGAGATTCTAATAACTGAGGCAGAGTTTGAGAATGAATTACATTAAAACATAGAAAACTAAACAAATAAGAAAAACTAGAAACTCTAAGAAAAGTAATCATTTTAGTTATGCATAGTATTTATAAAATTATAGTAATTCAAATATGATATGGATCTAAGTAGAATCATGAGATGTAAGGGTTGGGGGCAGAAAATCCAAGTCTGTGGTAGAGAGGGAGAGGTGAAAAAAGTAGCTACTAATCTTCCATAGTTCAAATGCAATCAAAAATACCTAAAAGTGAAAAATTAAAAAGTAGAAGTGCCAACACAAGTTTATTATTTAAAGTCATGGAAGTAAACATTGAAAAAATTATAAAAGTTTTAAAGAAGATGCTTCTGGGAGTAGTAAATGAAAAACGGAGATAAAACGCCATAGGGGACTGCTAGTTTTTATAATGAACTTAGTAAAACTTAAAGGAAAGGAGGTAGAGGAGGAATGGTATATATTTACACCAGTTATGAAAACCCAGCTCACCTGGAGAAACTGTGTGAATTCTGTGTAGTTAAGATGCTTCTTCCGATTATGCCCAAAATGCAGTCGGATAAATTCACAGTCCCAGTTAAAAGGGATATGATGATGAATAATAGTCTGTCCAAAAATTTCTTTGACATTTTCTTAAAAGGGAAAACAAAAATAAATAAATTATATCTGGAATAAATAGTTTAGTCCACTGCAATGTTCCTACAGAAAGAAATTAAGAAAAATTTTAAAAGTCAATATTATCTGATTCTATTAAGATTAGCTGCAAAGATTTTTGTGCCCAGAAACCCATGCACAGAAACAGAATTGATACAAAATATAATTTTACACTTAATATTGTGTACCATTACATATAAGGCCATGAGATTCTTAATTTCTCTTGATATAATTTTAATTAGGAAGTGATTTATATCTTGCACTATAAATGGCTGCTACTCTGCATTCTGGTATAAAATCAATAGTGTTTTCCCGGTTCCTCGAGGAGTCGAATTAAGCCCTTTATCAGAAGCATGAATACCTAAATTACAGTATAATGCAATATTTGTCATACTAAGTATGGTTTGATTGAGGCTTGATTATTACATTCACACTATCCTGAATATGTCTATTGAAGATAGGTATAAGAAATACTACCAAAAGCATATCATTAGCTCAGCAGCAAGCACCTTATTAAAAGCTTCTGATATTGTCAAAAATATGGTCTTGACACAAAGCTTCGAAATCCTCATAAAAACCATGATTATTAGTCTCAACCATTAAAATATTTTAAGGTAAGTGAAATTAGTGATTCACTTATAAATAAAGAAGCACTAAGCACAGTACACTAACTTTAGGTAAGAACCAGTCACATTGCGGAATATACAGCCAGAACCCCTGACAGCTTGTCTTCATGCACTAATCAGGTCATTCACTTTCTTACACAGTGCTACACTTGCTGTAAAAGTCAGTTCACAAATGACTGGTACTTTAACAAGCATAGGCTGGAGAGACTAATTTAGAAGCTCATGCCAAAAAAAAAAAAAATCATTAAAAAGTTAAGAAAGCAGGAAGCCTGTTTTACTGAGTCTTAAGAACAAAATTATTTTCAAATTTAAGCCAATTATATTAGTGAAAGGGTTTTATTATGAATAGCTATCAATTATACTAGAGAATTAGTAAATAGAAGTTTAATACTTTAAAATCTTCAACTATGCTATTTTCTCTAATTTCTTCAAATTCTTTAAATAAGATACAGATCTCATACTGTAAATGATTTAATGGATTCCCTTTAGCTTTATATACCTTTTTTTCTTGATAAAAGCACTGCTATGTTGGGGGTGGGGAGGACATGTGGTGTAAGAATCCTGAACAAGAATTCCTGCCAGTCTTTACTCAATATATATAAGAGCTCTGAATAGATCACAACAATCAGTAACTTGGAAGAAGGCATTGGATGTCACTGGGGAGATGGGATTCTCATCTTTACTTTCACAGGAATGTAGTTCTTGCCTAATTAGCAACAGTACTGCAGAATTTTCAAATCATATCATTTTCATCTTCCAAAAACACAAATTAAATATATGGGTTTTTGTTTCTAAAAGCAAATCATTAACTCAACAGCAATTCATGGGATTCTGCCTTCTAACCCACACAAAGGATTACCCTTAAATCTACATGAAACCTCACATTATAAGATATGTTAAAATATTTTAGAGGTAAAAATATTATGGCAGATCAGAAAAAAAATTAGGATTCTCCAATTTAATTGGCTGCTTCTATTCCCACATTGATTAGATTTCTTATTTTTAAGGTCTAACAAAGTGTGAAACTAAGGAAACATGAAGAGATAAATGGAAAGCAGAACAGGATAAATTAAATAACTACATATATTTAAATAGTATTAATATTATTTATTAAAGGGAATAAGTTATTTTATTATAATCTTTATTTTACAGGTCACAAGTCCCAAAGCTCAACTATTTGATAAAAAATGTACATATTACTACCTAGTTTTTATATAGTGGTGGAATAAAACTGAATTCCCTTTATGTGATCAGAAGATAGCAGAATCTCAAGTGTGAAACTATATCAAATAAAGTAAAAAATTCAGAAGCTTTCAAACTACAAAAAATTAACTATGAAAATTTACTATCACAAGAAGAAAATTTATAAACCAAAATTACAATGTATAATTTATATTTAGGAAAATAACTCTATAAAAACTTTAACTGAAATCCTATTATATAAACTTCCTAGCCACCTCTAAATAAGATCTCAGAACATCTTTGAAACAATTAAATGATGGCTTAAAGTACTCATAGTAATTTCCTCAAATACTGAAGTGTCGTTTTCCATAAGTATTTGCTTGAACTTTTCCTATTTCTCCCAAAGTGGGCACTTGATAGCTTTGTATATGGTTTCGCATCATGACCATTATAATGTGCTGTGGTTTATTAACTACCCTTAGACGCTTTTAATTATTTTAGCCATGTCACAGGCTACAACTGTAGTTACTAACAAAATTTCAAACCTACTTTGGCACTTCTTGATGTATCTCACTTTCCTTCTGTTATTATTTACACTATCAACTGCCTACGGCTAATTCAGGAAGCTTACAGAAATAACTAGTACCACTATTGTTTTGAAGTCCAATTCTTAATTACCATTTCACTTTTACCAAGATGTGCTTATCAAAAAAAAGTTAGACAAAGCTCTAGAACTGAAGAACTTAAACTTGTATGAGGCAATAGCTCAAATAGCTGATGTTCTTATCTTACCAGCTTTTTGTCAGGCTCTGCATGACATGAAAGGGAACACCAATAATCTCAAACATACCCCATACATCTAACTGACACTGCATAACAAGTTGTCCCCCCAGAGAGAATCCCGTCTTTCCAGTGGCAAACAAGGGTCTTTAGCTCTAAATAGCACTTCTTGGAGTGCTATTTCAGTAGTTCTGGCCCGGACGAGAGGGATATGACAGTCACATCTTATTGGCAGCAAGATCATGATCTGGTGTTTTATACTAGGTTGGCACTGCTAAGGGAAATAGGAATCCATTCGTTTTCTGATGTATAGAAAACAACAGACCTCTTTTTCACTTCCTGCAGAGCATGGGCTTATGGAAAGAGATGGTTTCTAATTCCTAGAAAAGGTCATTGGGGCCAGATACAAAAGTAGCTGGTCACTATGTTCTCTGTCCTCAGAGGAGAGGAGCACAATAATTTGTCAGGAGGGCAGGTAATGGTGATAACTGTGATTAAAAATGTTCACAGACGTATAACATTAGTAAGTTTAGCGGTATCAGTCACTTATGATGATTGGACTAGATGAAATATACATTGAAGCATATATATTATGTAAATATGTCTTAACAGAGGTTTTAATTTCCCCCACTGTGTCTCCCCATCTCATCCACCCTCATCCCTCCCCTGGTCCTTATGGGAGCTTCCTACTGGTCTTGTTCACCTTTCTGCAGTACAAAATTACCTCTGACCGGGGCTGGCACTCTTCTCCAAGACTGCCGCCATGCCTGTTCCATGAATGAGCCTGGAAGGAGCTGCTGTACCAACGGTGTGGCCAGAGAACTCCTCCTGTAGGTATACAAGCCATCAGCCCTGTGACACAGCCCACCTACCATCAGCCCAACGACATCCTGATTCCAAGGATTTCAGCCCAGCAGGAGCCACTGCTTCCAACTGACAGGCTTGAGACCAAACATTTTTAGTGTCAGGGGGAAAAAAGTCCTCAACAGCTGAGTTTCACTTGCACAGTTCTTAAAGTGAAGTCAGAGAGGCTTTTAGGACTCCCACCATGAACAATGAATACCCTTGTGTGTCACTGAACAAAAACAATGGCAAGACTTGTGGAAGTAAAGAGTTTTTCAGTGAAGGAAAACTTGAGGGAAAAGAAGGGGAACAACTAAGAGACCAAAAAAGAAAACAAAGGAAAACAAACAACAACAAAATAAAGATCAACAACAGGAACTTGTAGAGGAAGTCCACTCAACATAGCATGTAGACTCAGTCCCAGACTTCTAGGTGCTACTCCCAGGTGACCATTAGTTTCCTGGGAGACCTCTACTGTTTTTCTGAGGGGAAGTATTTCTTTTAATCCTTTACCTACCTCCAGAAGGGACTACTGTACAGTCAGTCAACAGAGTAGTCATGCTGCCAAATTTATGTAAAGGTCCATTTCTCAGGAAAGATGAATTTAAAGAGCATCTATTACTATAGAAGCTAGATACTTTAACAGTCTGTCACCAAGTGGTATAAAAACTAATAACAGCATGTCCTTTTTTTCTTTAACCTCAAACTCTAATAGCCACTCTAATAGCCATTCTAATAGCTTTGAGTGTTAATATGACCTTCTCAGATTTAATGTGAATGCCCAGGTGAAGTTCTAATTATTTCCAGGTTAAACTGGGTCCTTACTAGCATTAGTATTCATATCATTCTATGTCTACAGTTTTGTTTCCACTGAGAGAAGGTACAACATTTTTCATATGGAGACTTCCATCTCCTGAACCTTTTGATAACAGCAGTGGTTATGCCTAATTTATTCTTCCCTTGAGGGGGAAAGAGACTATTTTAGAGGCATAATTGAAATGCATTTTTATTAGCTGTACATATTGGTGGTCAGAGACAGTATGAAATCAAAAGGAATCCCTGCTTTTTGAGGATCCTACAGTCAGGGGGTGAAGATGTGCCCTTGGAAAAGTACACTTTGGAGAGTTCTTACTCCTAGGCAAATATTTTGAAACACAATGTTGATAAGATTTTAATAGAAAACTTAGAATGTATAACATGTTTTATATCCATTTATTAGTTAATAGATGAAGAGTTTGGGTGGTTGTTTATTTTAAATGATCACCTCTTTGTTAAAGCAAAAGGCTTTTATTTTTTAAATTTATGACAAAAGCATATCAGCTATTGACAATACAATGTAGTATAACTGGTTATCCCGGTGACCTCAAGCTAATTCTATCAAGCAGAATATCCAGTGCACTAGTAAGACCAAGGCAAGCTTGTACTGTATCTAACACACACCAGTCATGCAATGGCCTCTACAAGGTTCATGCCACCAGGCAGTAACAGATATACAAGCCATTAAGTAACCCACAGCATGCATTAGAAGTTTTATTAAAGGGACATCACAGAGGAAACAATAAACTAATGGTTTTAGTCACTCTTTTAAAAACTCCAGAACCCTCTCCTGAGCCTGCACACTCTGCAATAGATTGCCAAGGTCTCAATATAAGTCCTCTCCCCCAGAGTAAAAGTATCTCTAACAATAAAATTTAAAAAAAAACTTGTCTAGAACTCAAGAAAATGTTACTCAATATTGCTATGCATATAAATACTTGAAAGATGCACACAAGTATATAATTTGATATGTATAAAAAGCATATCTAAAAAAACAAAAGCATAGATGAGAACAGTATATACAAGTACACAGATAACATCATCACCGGAGTCCATGAGAGATACCAATGGCATAACAGTCTTTCCCCACTCCATTACACCTTGCATCCAGTATTCTCTCCCACCTTTCTCTCCTGATGTGCACGACAGAAAACTATTCTTTAAATATGCTTCAAACTAGAAGACATAAGGCCATTTGGTGAAAAGAATTTCAAGTTAGAATGGATCTAAAATTTCCCTTTACTTAAACATATGTCTATAAATACACAAGCATAATTCATTTTATTAAGTGGGTACAAACATGAAAACTGACCTTTATCACAGATCCAAAAATCCTATAAAAATTAACTCCAAGTTAATTATTTTCTTATGCTAAAACTCTATAGTCTTGAAATACAGCCTTAGAAATCTTATTAAATGGCATTTCTAACAATTTCAATGTTTTTCCTCTTTTCTTAAGAATATCAAATTAAACTTTCTCTTTTTCATTATGATTCTTTTCATTTTAGTCAAGAATAGTGTTTAAAAATGGATCCTCAAAACTAGGGAAGCAGGGCAGGAAGGGGAAACAGTCGACTTCCCCAGGAAATAGGTGAGCACCATCGAGAGAACCATCCAGCTACCCAGGCCCCCAGGAACAATGTTGAAAGGGGGCTCAGTTTTATCTTATTCCGTAAGAATCTTCCCATCTATAGATTATGGAGTAGAATGAAAGCAGGATTCTGGAGGGTTCATATGTTCTTCAGTTCATACCAGGTGCTATAAAAACTAAAACTGATTTGTTTTGTTTTCATCTAATTATATTTTCTTAAAGTCCTAACTCATAAACCATAGTCTGAGGGAAAAACAAAAGATCTATAAAATGCTATAGATGGGATCTGATAACTACGAACTTCAATTTACATGAAATATTAAGGTGGTGTAAACCACTCGGCTACTTCCTACACTCATTTGAATATACTAATCAACAATGGCATGAGTCTCTATTGTTAGTCTGTTAGATGAACTAACTTAAGTGACTTATTTTTAAAAATAGAAATTGGGGAAACCAGTCAAATGGAGGAGACACAAAGGACCATGGTATCAAGATAAGAGATACAAAATAAATTACAATTTGTTTTTGGGAAATCTAACTCTTACACAATGGGCACATGATAGAAGCACAGGTACTGTCACTAATGCAGATATTTGTATCAAGTTATTTCCCAAGCATTTCTGCACATTTGGAAGTGAGCATGTGTGATACCTATTGAAAATTGAAAATGTAGCATTGTCAGTAGTACAGGGTTAATGCTGAAAGATGAGACACAAAGATTTTATGCTAGGTATTTTTGAGGCGGCGGAATGGCCAGAGATTGCTCCAAAGCAGGGAGAATGCCAAATATGCACAAGAACCTAAAGCGTTCTGCATAGGTATTTATGTGGGAAAATCTTCTCAAACAGTAGATAACTGGATAAATGGGCAGAAGGAAGGAAATGATCAATGCTAAGCTAGAAAACGTGACCACTAAGATCACAGCAAAGGCACCCTGGTCCTTCTGAACATCTGTATGTTCTCACCAATCTTACATGCAGTGATACTTCTTTTGGGTTTAACAAAAAGTATTTGTTTTAGAACAAATTCTACAGTGAACAAAGATTTAGTGCTGTGTCTCAGGAAAAGTCCACCTTTCAAGAGTTTCTCTACCACATACTAATGCCAATTCACACCATAAATGGGGCTCTAGTTCAGTTTTACAAGATGAAAAAGTTCTGGAGATCTATTTCCCAACAGTGTGAATATACTCAATATTACTGAACTATATACACTTAAAAATGGTTAAGATGGCAAGCGCTGTGTTGTATTACCACAATACAAAAATTCCAAATATTAAAGAAAGAAAAGGGTGGAGCGCTCAAGGTCCTTGAAAACACATTGTTTTTATTAAAAAAGCCTGTTGTAGGAAAAACTAGCTGATACTTTTCCTAAACAAAAACTAATTTCTACAAATAAGTGTCTTTAAAAACTAATACATGGCAACAAATAGAAATCCAAGTTTATAGCTTGTGAGGCATCAACAATGCACTAGTTTATGTGCCTATCAAAGGATTTAAATCAATTTCTACACCCAACTCAGATGGTAATTTTAATATCCTAGCCTAGTTTCCTAAAACCAAAAATCTAAAAAGGGGGTTCAGAGAATGCTAACTATTCTTGCCTTAACCTCCTCCTTCAGTTCCATTCTCGGTGTTAAAATAACAACAGCAATTTTCCAAAGATGCTACAGAGAAGCTCTGAATGCTCTACCCAGAAACCCCTTAAAGAATGCTGTTCACAGTCTGTTTCATAACAACTTTTGCCCAGGCTAGCTCAGAACAAGAAATTTTTACACCACTTATTTTAGGAATGTGAAAGTGTCAGTGACTCTATGAGTTAAAGTAATGACATTTCCTAGAAACCTTAATTTTTTGCAAGTCTAATGTTTACAAGAAAAGAAAACCATTTTAATTTGACCTGTGTAAATCCTTTTAGGAAAGTAATACTTCACTTATTGACTAACTCCTAAATAAACAACAATCTATATGCAGTTACTAGATTTAGGAATTAAAGACTGGACCAGCCTCACTAACCTCACTTATCACTTACAATCTTTTCTTTTCCTTACCAAATGTCACCTCTCCATTTCCACTCTTGTCAAACAACTGGAAAGCCACTATGAACATGGAATCTGGAGCACATAAAACAGATTCAAATGCCAAAAACTCTTGATAGGAGATCAACCTAGAATAAAATATAAAATATTACTGGCTGGCAAAGAAAGGGGGAATGTCAGGCATTTAACCTGCCTTTATTGCATGAACTATAGCTCAGGGTAACCAAATAATTGATGAAGAGAGTTTGTCTTTATAGAGGTATTCCAGATAATAAAGAAAGAAGGAATGAATAAACTTAGAATATCCCCCATTTGAAAAGCTCTAACAAATTAATGGACCTGGGCAATAATCAATAATCCCTAATATCACACAAAGAGAGCAAACTAGACCAAAAATAATTAAACTTGAATCTGAACAAGTCTGTAGATCAGTTTCTCAACCTTGGCACTCAAAGTGCCATTCTAAGCTGGATAATACTTCGTTGTGGAGGCCTCCTGTGCATTGTATCAGTTTGGCAGCATACCTGGCTTCTACTCACTAGATGCCAATAGCAGCCCCCATGTTAAGAATCACTGCTCTAGTGTAATAAAAATTTTATGAAAACTACAAAAGAAAAAGGAACATGTTGAACATTATTATGGAAACAAAATCAGCAAAAATGCAAACTGTAGGAAACTACAGAGTGAACATGATTTTTTAGAGACATGCTTCCCATTTTCCCCATTAAGAAAAAATGACTACATTTTACATTTCATTTTATGCCCCCAGTCATCTAAGACACATTTTACATTAAATGTTACATTCTGTATTACTTAAAACACTTTAAAATATGTTTAAATTATGTAAGTTACAGTACACCCAAAACAATGATGTATACTATGCCTTTGCCCTTTATGGAGGGAAAAGCTTTATGGTGGGAAAGCCTTAGTGGTGATGTTATTCAGGGCACTGAAGACTATGCCCTCACTGTGTCCATGCTAAAGAATACTTGGTGACATTAGGAGTCTGAGTGCCTAATAAATCCTGGGCGGAATGATCTAATAATCAAAACTGTTTATGAGACAACATGTCATAAAACACCTTATGCACTGGTATACTAAAAAACATATAGTAAAACTCAAAAGTGTTATCATTACACAAATTTTAGGGTAGCAAAAACAAATGAAGTTATAACATATCAGGTTGTAACATCAAGACCATCTACACACCCCTAAAAAGCAATGAGTAATATGTGGTTTTAAGCTCTGAACAAAACTAAAGAGCAATGGTATGGTATGGTCTGAAACTACAAGAATGTCTAACACTACTTCCCAGTGGTGGTCTAGGGGAGGACCTAGAGAAGACAGAAGACCTTCACTTTCTATTTTTCTATTTTATATATTTCTGAAATGTTTCACATTTTTATAATGAAGAATTAGAATTACTTCTTATTATAGGAGTAATTTTAAAAATAAAAATAAAAAAGTAGCTAGACTGATTATAAAATTTAAAAATATATATTTCACCTTGGTTTTTCCAAAACAAGTCTTTAGGAATTGAACACCAAAAATACAATTACCATGAAATGCAGAATATGTAGCTTTAAAACACATTTCATGCTCAGTAGTGAAACTTTCTGTATTTATGAGATGAGAGCAAAGAATTTCTATTTAACTAGCAAAGGTCATAAACGGTCAGATGGCAGTGAATTTGGCTCACACGTGTATTTTCTTTGGCATGCAAAGTATTTTTTTTTTTTAGTTGCATTAGTTGCCAACATTTGGAAATCATAAGATTTCACGTAAATATCCAGTTTTCTGGTTCCTCTTGACAAACTGCAAGCTTGGGCAACAGGTCTCTGGTGCCAAACAGCACCAGCCCCTGGAGTCGAGCAGAAACTGTCTCCTTCAGAGAGACCAGGGCTCATCAGTTATCTACATCCCATCCCTGGAGATTGGAGACTCTTGTTGGGTAGGTTTCCAAATAAGTAGCCCTTTGTTTAAAATATAAAGTTATGAACTTCATTAACTATCTACATTTTGTCTATCAGTATATTCATAAAAGCAAATCATATATTCATGCAACTTTAGGGCCAGAGGGACCCTTGGAAAGTCTAAAGAAGTCAAATAATCTGCTCTAAAACATTCAGCAACTCAGTGGGCCCAGTCAGACTCTCAACTCCTGCCTTCAATTCAGTATACACCTCCCTGCCTCTCTCCCCCAATTTACAGTTAGAGTTGAGAAACAGAAAGGGTATCTGGTATCCATAGTAAGTAGACCATTACAAGAAGGTATTGGGGAAATACTTAGCCAACACTCAATACTCAGAGTTAGTTACCTTTGTTATATAGAGTGATTTATTTGAAGAAAGAAAAGTCAATTAAGTAACACAAAAGCATCAGCAATTTATAAAAGTAAGTCACTTCATATTGTTCAGCCTTAAAAAGAAATGAAATTCGGATGCATGCTGAAACATAAATAAATCTTCAAAACATTATGCTATAATGAAATGAGCCATACACAAAAGGACAAATATTGTATTATTCCTCTTATATGACATACCTAGAATAGTGAAATTAATGAGACAGTAGAATAGTGGCAGATGTTGCTCAGTGGTTAGAGCATCAGCCCATGCACCAAAGGTTGGGGGTTCAATTTCCAGTCAAGTGCACATACCTGGGTTGCAGCTTAGATACTGAGCGTGTGCGGGAGGCAACCAATCAATGTGTCTTTCTCACATCAATGTTTTTCTCTCTCTTTCTCTCTCTCTCCCCCTCCCTCCCTTCCACTCTCCCTAAAAATCAATGGATAAAATATCCTCAGATAAGAATTTTATTATGTTATATATTTTTTAACACAATAAAAAATAATTTACCTGAAGTTATCCAGGTGTGTGCATTTGTCAAAACTCAGCAAATGTATCTTTAACTAACAAATGAAATAGAAACAGACTCATTGATACAGAAAACAGACTGATAGCTGTCAGAAGAGAGGGGTTTGGGGGGGTTGGGTAAAAAAAAAGGTGAAGGGATTAAGGAAAAAAACAGACACAGACAACAGTATGATGATTGTCAGAGAGAAACAGGGTCAGGGAGATGAAAGAGGGCAAAGGGGGGATAAGTGGTGGTGGAAAGAGACTGAACTTTGGGTGGTGAGCGCACGATGCAGTAGGCAGATGATGTGTTACAGAGTTGTACACTTGACGCCTGTATGGTTTTATTAACCAATGTCACCCCAATAAATTCAATTTTTAAAAAGATTTATATTTTTCATTGTGTGCAAATTTTACATCTAAAGAAAAAGACTCAAAACAAATATTGAAATCCAGTCAATAATATTCATGCTGAAGTATTTAAGAAGAAGTACATTAATGTCTACAATTTATTTTGAAATGTGTAAAAAAATAAGATGGGTTGATGGAAAGATGGAGAGATAGATACATGAAAAAAGATGTCTAGAAAGATGTTAATGGTAGAATGTATGTGGTGGGTATGTGGGTATTCACTGTAAAATCCTTTCAACTTTCTAGAACGTTTGAAAATTTTCATAATAAAATCTTGGGAAGAAATGAGATCACAGGCCACTTAGTCTCTCTGATATGCTCCTTATCTATTTTTAGCTAAAAATACATAATAATGTAACAATACTTCTAAAAAAGCAAGAAATAATCTGCTTAACCACTAACATAAAGCGAACATGTTTCAGAATAATTTTTAAAGCTCTTTTTCCTTTATCCTGTCATGGATTCCCCTATTGCTAGAAGGACCTAATCAAGATGTTGGCAGAAAAAAGTACAAGCCACTATCTGTGGAATTGAAAAAAAGCATTACTGATTTCATACTGTAATAGTTTGTTTTCTTTTAATGAGGATACCACACTTGCTGTTTGATATTTTACAAAGAACATATATCTTTTATAACTTTGAAATATTTTACAAATCTGATTTTTTTCTAATTTTTTCTACAGAGTTTTCCCTTATCATTTACTGAATGGAAATTATAAAATTTCAAAATATTAATATATTAATTTGTAATTTCTAAAACAACCAAGACTTCTGCATAAAAGGTGGTTCTATATGCATGTAAAATATTAAAGGAAAACACTTGTGAAAAAGTAAAAGAGAGAAAAACTACAGTTTTCCACATCATAAGAGCACAGAAACTCCAGATGAAATCCTGACTAAAGCTAAATATAGAAACTATGGTTCTAGAACTTAGTTTCAAACAAGCAACTGTCTAAATATTTTAGATTAGATCAAACAGTAATAGTCCCTGAGACCTTCATTTAGTCCATAAAATCACTTTGCTTTTCATTATACAATCAGAACTTCAAAGTTTAAGCCACAATCTCACAAACACTACTTGGCTAATGGCTTTACTTTTAGACAACTCATCGTACTATTTATACCATACAATGCTCTTCTACATGGCTCTCCAAAGCAAGTACCTACATCAAAACACTCCTGCTTATTTTACTATCTACTGGAGGAAAGGGAGTGGGAAAAAGGAGGAAAGGGGGCAGTTTACATGCTAAGAAAAGTTGGGGTTGGGGGCAGGAGGGCCAGAGCACAAAAGGGCATGGTTTTGACCACTCCTAAACCTGCTTTTCCCATGCACTTAACGAAATCACTTAAACCTGTCAATACTATTTCTATTAATTTAGATTTTATCTTGGGTGGTTATAAACAATATTATGTAGTGCTATATCAAGTTACATACCTATAGGATTCATCATCGAAAAACTACACTAGTACCAAGAAAAATACCTCTTAGGGCTGAAAAAAAAAAGTACTAACTGAAGTAGTCTAACCTTTCATCACTGTCCTAGGTAAAGGGCTGGGAAATTGAACAAGGGGAAAGATGACAGATAGATGATAGCTAGATGATGATGGTGATAGATAGATAGATAGATAGATAGATAGATAGATAGATAGATAGATAGATAGATAGATAGATGATAGATAGATAGATGATAGAGATATAGGTATAGATATAGATATTTAATGATTGCAAAAAGAAAAATGAACTGAAAATTAAGAGAACTAATTTTGTGTTATTGAGCAAATCAATCAACCTCCCTGGGCCTAATTTTCCTTAAACATTACCAAAGCCTCTGATTCTCTTGAATTAAAAGTATTAAAGATACTGGAAGTCCTAGACAGAGCAATGACGCAAAAGAAAGAAATAAAAAGTATCCAAATCGGGAATGAAGAAGTAAAAGTGTCACTTTTTGCAGGTGACATGATTTTTCATATAGAAAACCCTACAGACTCCACCAAAACATTATTAGAAACAATAAACAAATATAGTAAAGTTCCAGAATATAAAGTCAATGTACAAAATCCACTGCAATCCTATATACTAACAATAAAATTTCAGAAAAAGAAATGAAAAAGTAATTTATTTTACAATTGCAACAAAAAGAGTAAAATACCTAGGAATAAACTTAACAAAGGATGTGAAGAACATATATTCTGTTAAACTACAAAGCATTATTAAAAGAGACTGAAAAGCACACACTGAAATGGAAAGATATTCCATGTTCATGGATTGGAAAAATCAACATAGTTAAAATGTCCCTATTACCGAAAGCAATAAACAGATTTAATGCAATCCCCATCAAAATCCCAATGACAGCCTGCCCAGGTGTGGCTCAGAGGTTGAGCGTCGACCTAAGATCCAGGAGATTAAGGTTCCATTCCCAGTCAGGGCACAAGCTGGGGTTGCAGGCTTGATCCCCAGTCAGAGGTGTGCCGGAGGCAGTTGATTAATGACCACACTCTCATCATTGATGTTTCAACTGTCTCTCCCTCTCCCTTCCTCCGTCTGAAATCAATAAAGATATACATATATTTTTTAAATCCCAATGATATTTTTTAAAGAAATAGACCAAAAAAATCATTAGATTTGTATGGAACCACAAAAGATTCTGAATAGCCAAAGCAATCCTCAGAAAAAGAATGAAGCTAGAGGTATCACACTACCCGACTTCGAATTATACTAAAGAGCAACAATAATCAAAGCAGCATGGTATTAGCAGAAAAAAAAGACAGACCAATGGAACAGTATTAAGAGCTCAGAAATAAAACCACATGTATATGGGCAAATAATTTTTGACAAAGGAGCCAAAAACATTCAATGAAGGAAAGAAAGCCTCTTCAACAGATGGTGCTGGGAAAATTGGAAAGCCACATGCAGAAGAATAAAACTAGACTACAATTTGTCCCCATGTACAAAAATTAATTCAAAATGAATCAAAGACCTAAATATGAGATCTGAAACAGTAATTTACATAGACGAAAACACAAGTACTAAGCTTATTACCTTGGTCTTAGAGAAGATTTTATGAATCTGATCCCAAAGGGAAGGGAAGTAAAGGTAGAATTAAATGAATGGGACTATATCAAACTAAAAAGCTTCTGCACAGCAAAAGAAACTGCCAACAAAACAAAAAGGCAACCAACCGAATGGCAGAAGATATTTGCAAACAAGAGCTCCAACCAGGGGTTAATATCCAAAATATAAAAAGAGCTCATACAACTCAACACCAAGCAAAGAAACAACCCAATTAAAAACTGTGCAGAGGACCTAAATATACACTTCTCCCAAGAAAACATACATACAAATGACGAACAGAGAAATGAGAAGATGCTCAGCTTCACTAGCAATTAGGGAAATATAAATCAAAACTACTATGAGATGCCCTAGCTGGTTTGGCTCAGTGGTTAGAGTGTCAGATCACGGACTGAAGGGTCCTGGGCTGGATTCCGGCCAAGGGCAAGTATCTCGGTTGCAGGCTCGATCCCTGAGGGGCGCTAGAGCGAGACAACCAGTCAATATGTCTCTCTCACATGATGTTTCCTTTCTCTCTCTCTCTCTCTCTCTCCCCCTTTCACTCTCTCTGAAAAGCAATGAGAAAAAAAAATCCTTGGGTGAGGGCTTAAGAAAAAACAAACTACAATGAGATACTACCTCACACCTATTAAAATGGCTATTATCAACAAGAAAAGTAATAACAAGAAACATCATTCACTGTTGGTGGAAATGTTAACTGGTACAGTCACTATGGAAAACAGTAGGGAGGCACCTCAAAAAATTAAGAATAGAGTTACCATATGACCCAGCAATCCCCATCCTGGCTATCTACCTGAAGATTTGGGAAACATTTGTTTGCAAAGATATATGCACCCCTATGTTCTCTGCAGCATTATTCACAGTGTCCAAGACATAGAAACAACCTAAGTGTTCTTTGATAGATGATAGGTAAAAAACACTGTGGTACAGTGGAGTACTACTCAGCCACAAGAAAAGATGAAATACATTACTGCCATTCATAACAACGTGGGTGGACCTTGAGAATATTATGCTAAGTGAAATAAGTCAGTCGAAAAAGCTAAGTACCATATGATTTCACTCATGTGGAATATAAAACTGAAACTCATAGACACAGACAACAGTATGATGGTTACCATAGGAAAAGGGGGTGGGGGGTAGTAATGGGTAAAGGAGGCCAGATATATGGTGACAGAAGATAATTCAACTTTGGGTGGTGAGCACACAATGCAATATACAGATCACTATCATGGAAATGTATACTTGAAACCTATACAATCTTATTAACAAATGTCATCCCAATAAATTTAATTAGTTAAAAAATAAAATATAGCCCTGGTTGGGTGACTCAATTGATTGGAAGGAACATCATCCCATACACCAAAAGGTTGCAGGTTTGATTAGGGTTTACAGGAGGCAATCGATGTGGGTTTTTTTAAGTAAACACTATTCAACATCACTAGATTCTCTACTGGCCAAAACCCATTTTTGATCTATTCTACTCTGGCAATTTACACCCTTGATTCCACCTGATCACACTTTTAACAACTCAACTGACTCTGGGAGAACCACATGAATGAAGCTTCATAAAAGATACACTTCATAAAAGACACTGAGATGGACTAGATGGTCACAAAAGAAACCATCTGAGAAGATATCGATACTCTGAAAATGGGTCTCAGACCAAATTACTAATAATAAATACTCCGATCATTTTAAAAGAACTAAATGTATGTGCTACCTTTTAATTTTGAAGAAGGAATTCTGCTTAAATATAATTAATTTACATATGTCTTACTGTTTAAGCACTATGACAGGCCCCATGACTAAATGGCCCACAGTAACTTATCAGCTGATTTTACTTTTTTAGAGACTAGACACAAAATATATACAAGTTCCCCAATATCTGCCATCGATAAATTATATAAAATCTTTCCAAGATATAAAATATGCATAGTAAATTTCATGCACTGTGCTAGATTTTACAGGAAAATACAAATGAATACAATATTAACCCTGGACTCAAAGAAAATAGATACCAATATTTCTACTTGAACTATTACAACAGTCTCCTAAACAGACTTCACTGCGTTCAAGTCTTATCCTACTCCAACCTACCATTTTTCTAAAATCTTACCATTTGTGGTGATGGAAATAATGTTTAAAGATCCCTTATCGCCTAGTTTTTCAGTTTTTCACACAAGCACCTCTACAGGTATGAGAGAAAAAGAAACCTGGGTCCTTGGAGGCCTGGGGATGTAGCTTGGAATTCACAAAGCAAGGCAAATTTTCTTTATAATTCATACAAATATTCCATTTGCTCCATAATGCAGTCATATGTGATTTTAATATTAAAATGATGTGCTTTTTTCCCGTGAATTGAGTAAACTGAAACTCTAGTAAGATGCACCTTGCTATTTCTGTGGCTGCACAATATACTGCCAGGCTAAAAATATCTCCATGACTGAGAGTCACGAGCCTATAGTATACAGTCAAAGTCTAGCACACAAAACCAAGCACAACTCTGACAGTGACAAAGCAACACCTCAACCACACCAAAGTATTTGTAACACAACCTCCCCACTCTCACTCCCCAAAATACACACACACACACATAAACATACATGTGCCCCTTGGTGCTTCAAGTCACTGCTGCTCCTTTTCCTGGAACTCTCCATTCTAATTGCCCAATCACCAGCAAGCTCCTTTCATCTTGCCAGATTTCACCCAAGCATCATTTCTTCTGTGATGCCATCCTGACCACCCCAAACAGACTTAACTGTGCTTTCTTGGGTGTCCTTTGTACCTTTTATATACTTCTACTGTAGCACTTTATCCCCAAAGTATTGCTTTTCTTGTTGTTTACCTATTCTCTATCTCACTAGACCATGAGCTTCTTCTTAAGACCAGGAACCCCATTTTATTTATGTTTGTATTTCTAAGGCCCAACACTGTTGAGAAAATGGTGGTTGTTCAATAAATGTTTGTCAAATAAATGAGTAGACAGAAATGAATAAATACTACTTTAAATTCTTCCCTGATTTTTCTTTCTTTCTTTTTTTTTTTAAATATGTTTTTATTGGTTTCAGAGAGAGGGAGGGAGAGGGAGAGAGAGAGAAACACCAATGATGAGAGTCATCATTGATCGGCTGCCTCCTGCATGCCCCCCACTGGGGATCAAGCCCCCAACCCAGGCATGTGCCCTGACCAGGAATCAAACCATGATCTCCTGGACCCTAGGTCGATGCTCAACGGCTCAGCCCAGCTCAGCCACACCCAGCCGGGCTTCCCTGGTTTTCCTTTATAGCACTTATAACCTCCTAACATGTTATAATTGACTTTTAAATTTTGTTCATTTTTGCATAGCTTATTCACTGATGGAATTCTAGCACTTAGAACAGTGCCCAAAACATAGTAGATAGTAGGTATTCAATATTTATTGAATGAACAAATGAATGAATGAATGAAAGGAATACACTTAGTTATCTGAAAACCATTCTGCTCAGATTATATATAAAATATGACCTTCAACATGTAAGTTTTTTCAAAAGAAAAAGAAATGCTAGTATCCTTGATAACGGCACTAAATAACACAGTTTTTATGATCATCTAAAAAACAATATGATTTATTAATATTAAAATTCCAGATTGTCATAAACTTGTGGTTTTTCCATTTTTTAATTAGATGATGCAGAAAATTAGTTTTCAAAAAAATGCATAAAGATCTTACCCATCCTTGGTTTGATCAGCTACTCCTGCCAAGAGCTGGACAATCTTCGGATTGCTATTTGGATCATTATACAGTCCAAGATAGCGCTGGACAAAGTCTTCCGGGGTCATGTAATGTTCTCCATCGACCTCAGTACTAGCATACTAAAAAATAAATAATGTATACTTAAAAATTAAAATTATTCAATATCATTTTATACCCAAAGAAATGTTTTGTGAAAATATAAAGGCCAGTATCAAAATCAAAATATAGATAATAAATGCAAAATTTATCTCTGGATAGTGAAAAAACAAACACCAAGAGCATGATTTAAGAACCTTGGTAAAGTACTGATATGCTGTAACAGTGATTTTCAACCTTTTTCATCTCATGGCACACATAAACTAATTGCTAAAATTCTGCTGCACACCAAAAAATATATTTTTTTGCCAATCTGACAAAAAAAGATAGGTATAATTTTGATTCATTAACACCAATCGGCTATTGTTGTGTTGGCTGCTGTCTTTTTTTTTTTTTTTTTTTTTTTTAAAATCT